CATTCCGTTATCTTGGGCGATAATGGCGTATTTAGACTTGATTTCATTTTTAGTATCTCTGCTCTTGGAAAACTCTGATCTTAATGGTATTTTGCTAGAAGCGGGTGCTGCATAAGATATTCCACTGACCGTCAGTATGGCCACAGTGGCTAACCAGAAAGGACAACTGCTAAATAAATTTTTTTATTTTGTAAAAAGGAAGCAGTATTTTCAAGTAGTGATTGTTTAAGTAAAAAAACTCTTAGTTTTTATCTACTTTGATAAAAGTTAGTCATAATATGGAGTAAATGTTTAGGAGGGCTTACTGTAGAAGCATAAGGAACGTCGATTAGTGGGGGTAACCGAAAAGCAAGGGTGTCGAGAAGTTTTGAATGGAGAAATACTCCAACTGTTGATTAGTGAGTTTTCGGCAAAGCTTTTATAGAACTGGTTAGGGACAGGTCTGTTGTTAGTGTCAGTTTGGATGTCACTTTTTGAGCTCACCGGATTGTCCCTTATTGTCAGCAAAAGAAAAAAAAAAGTAAGAGTGCGAGAAATAAATGTGGCCAAACTGACGGCTTCTTTTGTTTTAATTCGCTCAGCCCGATGTGGTCTAGTTGATATTAAACATCATCATATTTATTGCTTCTTATAGCAGGTATTAACTTAATTCTAATTTGTTTTATTTCACTGACTAGCAAAAAAAAAACTCATTTTTATGCGTTTTATATCTGATCTATAGCCATGTTACGTAACTGTCGAAATTAATTAATGACGGTAATATGTTATATGCAGCACTACAGACCTGTTTAGGCATGAATCCTAAAAAGTGAGTTTGGCATTTGTTCGTTTAAAATTTTGCTGTACCTTTAGATAAGAATGATAACTAGTTTTTTCCAACTCAATATTTGTCCGCTCATCAAATACAACCCACAAAAAAAATTTCCTGTTATTCATAGATATTTTTCTTTCAAGCTGTTTTGCCTTATAGTTGATCTATTTCAGATTCTTTAGTAGAATCTTCCAGTTTGCAATGTAATTTAGGGTTATCCTAAACTGATGACATGAAAAACTCCAATTCACTCACTAATTGGTAATGCTGTTACGATTACATTGTCAAGAAATCAGTTTATTGAGAACAAATGACAGAGCATTATGTACAAAATTATATCCAATTATTCCCAATCAATGCATTTTCCGCATTCATCTAAACACAGAAAAGGCAGACCTATAAATTAGCAGTAAAAGTTTTCGGATGAACAACTGTATTTTCAATTACTGTGATTAAGACGCAAATGGAGTATAAAATCTTGAAACAGTTTTACATTTGCTAATTGTTGTTCCATAACACTTTGATTTAAGACAACTGGATGATTGATAAGGCAAAATATTGGCTGCTCATGGCTTTTTTTTTTCTTAATGTAATCCCATCCAAGACCTGCTGAAATAAAAAGGCGTACAACGAAATGCATCCATACAGACTCACTCATTTGATCACAAGCATTCATTCACGCATACACACTCCCTCAGACACACACACACTCCCT